TTTGAACCACAAGGTCTGTTTTGGCTCCTTGGAAACCCTATACAGGGTCACTATGAATCAGAGCCAGTTCAACAGCACTTAACAACAGAAGTTGTTTATCAAATAAATGGCTTACACTTGTAGAGTCCCAGGTCCCCAGTGGAAGAGAGAGAAGGTCTTTCCTGCATATCCATTATGTTGAAAGCAGGCCACACCCCCAAGAAAGCATCCCTTCAATTTTGGCCACTCAAAGCACTCATCATAGAGCTAACTATGCCTGTATTAGGTTTCACCATGGAAATAAGCACATCTCAACTGTCAAACCTCTGGAAATCCTGGCCTAGTCAAGTTGACACAGTACTCTAAACAATCACAGTGCATACAGGTGAATAATAGTGGTATTAACTGGTATTCCTTGTAGGAGTATGGATAGTATCCTAATGACAGCGGTGTACTTCAAGGTAGATCTTAACATTTTCTTTTTGTTGATGAATGCGACACCATTCCTCTTCAATTTGTCATTCCTGGCATAGTAAATTGTCAGATTCAAAATGGTCCAAACCTGTCCATTTCAGCTCATTAATACCTAGGATATCCATCTTTATGCATTCCATTTCATTTTTGACAACTTGCAATTTTCCTAGATTCGTACTTAATACATTCCATGTTCTGATTACTAATGGGTGTTTACAGCTGTTTCTCCTCATTTTGAGCTGTGCCCCTGAAAGGTTTACTCCATTTGCATCATTACAGTCAACTCTACCTTGAGGAGGCAACTCTTCCCTGGTTGTATTTTGAGTACCTTTCTATCTACGTGGCTCATCTCCAGGCACTATTTCTGATAATATTCTGGTGCTATTCATAATGTTTCAATATTCCGTGTTCTGGTGCTGACAGCGTTCCACCGCTTTATAAGGGTTTCAGTGGCTAAACATTCAGAAGTAGTCCACTGCTCCTTCCTAGTCTGCCTCAGTCTGGAAGCTCAGCTGAAAGCTGTCCACTCTGGGTCACTATGGGTCACTCTGCTGATACTTCAAATGCTGGCAGCAGAGCTTCCAGCTTCACAAAAGACACCACAGTACGACAAACTAACATGAGTGGTGGAGAGTTACTATTGTGGTTTTTCTTAAGTGAGAGTTACCATGTTGTTAAGTGTCATGGAGTCGATTCCAACCCATAGAGACCTGCTATAGGGTTTCTGAGGAGCAGCTGGTGAGCTTGAACTGCTTGACCTTGCAGTTCAAACGGCTTTGCAGTCTGGCACATTAACCCACAGCACCACACCAGAGTTACCAGAAGACCCAGAAACTCTACTCCTATGTAGAAGATAAATGGAATCATGTTATTGTTAAGTGCCGTCGAGTGGTTCCGACTCATGGCAGTTCTGTATAGGATTTCCGAGGAGCAGCTGGTGAGCTTGAACCACCGACCTTGCGATTCAAACCAACCTTGCAGGCTTGTACATTATTACACAGCGCTGTACCAGGACTCCAAATGGAAATATATACATACAAAAATGTGTATATGCAAGTTCAAAGAAGCATTATTTATAATTGCCAAAACAAATTTAGAATCATGATGTTGTTGTTAAGTGCTGTTGAGTCAGTTCCAACCCATAGTGCCCTGTATAGGGTTTCCAAGGAGTGACTGATGAGCTTGAACCACAAACCTTGTAGTTCAAATGGCTTTGCAGTCTGGTACATTAACCCACAGCATCACACCAGCACTCTAGAATCATGATAGGAACAGACATTTATAAAGAAAAAAAGATTTCAAATATACAAAAAAAAATTTGGTATAAAAAGGTAATTGCTGGAATACCTAAAAGGGGTTCTACAACTTGCCCAGTGAAAGAGGCCTTGTTCAAAGCCTTCACAGAGTATAGGACCTTAGGTGGAATCCTGAGTCCCATCCACAACCTTGTGAG